TTCATAAGCGCTTTTTACTTAGTAGAGAACACTGTGGAAAATGTTTGATGTGTTATATTTTGTAATATGAAAATGTGAAGCTTAAAATAACTATTTATAAGGGAGAACTCAGAAACAAAAAGATGAACAGATTTGACTAAATACAAATTCAAATTTTTCTGTTTACCAGAAAGATCATAAAATTAAAAGGCAAATACCAAAAATAATTGCCACAAAGATATAGGTTTTTACCATCCTAAATGCAAGCTTTTAAAAACTTTTTATAAGTTGATGAGAAGAACACGAAGACCCGAAATCATGATGGCAAAGGACATAAAGATGCAATTCTAAGAAATGAAATATGAATAAAAAATAAACCTATTCTAAATGTCCACAATCTCTTTAACTGTAAATTAAAACAACTACGTTTCACAAAAATTAAACAAAAATATTAATAATACCAAGTGCTGGCCAAGGTAAGACAAGATACTATGATGGGAGAAACATAAATTAGGACAACCTTTCTGAAAATCAATTTGACCTGGTAATTCTACTGGCATTTTAACCTAAGAGAAAAAAATTGAAAATGCTGACAAAGATTTACATAAGGAGATGTTACTCTCAGCATTAACTTAAACAATTCTTTTAAAAACCCAAATGTTAAAAAAAAATCCTAACGAAAACGGTATTTTCAAAGAATTTCACATGACATTAGAATATTTTCAACATAAAGTTCAAAAAAGCAAGAAATATACCTGCTTATTCAGTATGATCTCTGCCAGCTAGGTTAATATACAGCTATTTTACATACTATTGGTTATCTCTGGGTGGAATTTTATACTCTTCTCTATTTTCCATATTTTATAAAATATCCTCTATTTCAAGAAAGGTAATTTTTTAAATAGCTGAACAGATTTCTGAAACAACAGTCATTTCTAAACACCAAACTTTTCATTCTTCTTCTGAAAATTATCCACTATCATCACTTAGTCATGTTCTTTAATTTTTCAAAGGTTCATATTTTATGGACTTCGTTTTGTTTCGGTTTGAAGAGATTTTAAAAGGCTGGAAAAGAAGCTTTTGCTTTGCAAATGTCAATCATTTACTCTCCTGGATTCACGATTTCAAGTATTTGACCTTGTGGAGTTATTTCAAGTTTCTCTTAACTTGAAGCCATTGAAGCTATCATCTGGGTCTAAATCGCTGCTGACAGAAATTCAGGTAGGATCTGGACTGCGGAATTCTTTTATAACCTTAACATTGTAAGTGCTACTGAAATGATCCAGGCCTGCATGGAACATTACATTCAGATTATTTATTATTCTGGTGTTATTTTCCTTTACTTTTTCAATGCCAATTTTATACTTAATAACAAAAAATTAACTTCTAAACCCCTCAGTTCTGACTGGATTTTTAACTGTTGGCAAATATTTTAGTGTTCAGATTTATTTAAAGATAAAAAACATTAAACTTTTTATAGGCTATAGAGGCAAGAATTCAAATACCTAGTATAATGATACAACAGGCTGACTAAAAAATTACCGAATTAGTGTTAATTCAAGGTTTATAGTAAGAACTCATGTTTATTAATTTGTGCAGAAAAAAACTAAAATTATGTCTGAGAAAAGACTTATGCTATGAGTCCACCCTATTAAGTAATATGGAAGAATTATAATGAAAATAACATGAATGGTTAAATATAAAGAGGTATCTTCTTACTCAATGTATTTATAATGGGTTACAATCAAATTTGAATAAACCAACAACATTTTCTTATCTATTTGCTTTATCATTGAGCAGGCTACACTGAATTTCTCAGTTGCTCATCATTCTTTTATTCACTCACTTAACATTTAATAAATGGCCTACTTTGTGCAAGGCACCATGCATGATCATGGAGCTTCAGAAATGAGTATGTCACAAGGGCTGCTTTTAGGGAGCTCACAGTTCAGCTCTTCATGCCATTTGGAAATCTAAACTCCTCTTGTTAAATAAAAACCATTTATCAATGAGAAATACAAATTACTCTTCTATTAAGAGCCCAACACTTGTATTTTATCGTAGAACTCTGGGGTTGGCTAATTTCATCAACTGACCAAAAACCAAGCTCAATGTGCTAAACACTAGCCTAATTAATGCTCTCTTCCTTTTTTCTAATTTTGCATATTTGCCAACAAGTCCTGCATTTTGGTCAATTTCCTCAGCACCTTTATGCATGTCTCCTAAAATTACTATGCCAAAATTCCATTTCTATCTTCTTGTGCTACTTCTGTTTCCAGTTCAAGTCAGGAGCATCCCATTCTTCCATACTCACACTGCCCATGCTCACCCCTCAACCTGCACAACTCCAATTCTATCTCAGCAAATTCCCTTGCTTTCTCTTTCAGAGGTATTCCATCCATCTGCTCAGCGTGAAGCTTCAGTGTTTCACTTTCTTTGAAACTCCTCACTCCGAGCAGACTACTGTGATTCTTTACTAAGAACAGAGATATTAGATATAAGCTCTTCTTAAGTCTTATCAGAGAACTTTTTTATATCTTGACCAATCTCCTTCCTTCATCCCTCAGTGAAAGCCATGCTTCCTTTTATTCTTTCACTTAATTTATACTAGGTGAGCACTTACATTGTGCCAAATTTTCTAGGCACTCATGATACAGAAGTAAGTAAGACGGACAAGATTCTGCTAATGTAGCTTATATTCTCATGGAGGAAATAGACAATAAACAAGGGAACAAATAAAAAAGATGTGATTTCAGATAGTGAGATATGCTATGAAGACAATGGGATAAGGTAAGGTGGTACGGGTAGGCAGGACTTTAGATAAAGAGGTCAGGGAAGGACCTGTGAGGCGTGCAGATTGATGAGAAAACTCAGATGGCCGTAAGAAAATCATAGGGAAGAATATTCCAGGCAGAAAACGTGTCAGGTATAAAAAGCTGGAGGCAGGAGAGAGCCTGGCAGGTTCAAAAACACACCAATGTCTCATGTGGCTGAAGCCTTGTAGACACAAGGCGTAGGTGGGCTGTGTTGATTTTTCGTACCCTATTCTCTCAGATCTCAGGCCTTCAATTATTTACAGTTCTTTGCATCATTAAGCTCTTCCTCTCATGTACTTCAAAATGTGCAAAAATTTTTTCAGCCTAAAAACATATTCCCTTTTAACTCCTTCTGCTTTTTGGAATTACACCTGTCTTTTAACACCAAATTTTCCAAAACTTATCTACGTCCTCACTACTCTCTCACTTGGCTTTTGCAGCCATGTCTCTGTCCACACTATCATTTTCAGTACTCTGTTCAAGAGCATCAATGACATCTTAGTTTCAAATCCAGTGACCTTTCTTCAACCCTCATCCTTCCTGATTTTCTGTAATATTCTTGACAATCCTCCATTTCAAAATATTATTTTCCTTTACTTCCATAAAGATATATGCTCTTATTCTTCTTACTTTGATGACCTTTCTTTAACTCTGTTTCTTCCTCAACCTCTTAAATGCAGTTGTTCCCTTAAGTTCTTCCTTTCCAACTTTTTTTTTTTTTTTTTTTCTACATTCCTCTCTTTAAACAGTCTCACTCACTCCCAAGGTCACAGGTCATGCCCTCTCTGTGGGTAATTCTTACATCTTTTTCCCCAGTCTTGCCTCTTCTTATGACTCTAGAAATGTTTTTTCAAAAGCAAGTGAACATCACAGCTGAGTGTAATGATGCACTTCAAACTCAGCTTGTTTATAACTGAATTCATTGTCTTCCTCTCCAAACCAGAAACTCTTCCTCAAGTTCCCAATATATTAAGGGATGAAATTATACTTAACAAGTCTAATCAATCCTATCTCTGCAATGATTCTCAAACATGCCCTTTATCCCACTGCCACTAGGACTGTACTCTCATTACCTCCCATGCACCTCTAACGTACCTTCAAGGACCTCCCAACTGGACTAATCCCATTCCTGCCAATTACTTATATTACTATGACATCTTGCCAACACTCCGACCTCATCACCTTCTCCTGTCCTCCTTGGTCATGCATTTCCAGCCACACTGGCCTCTTTGCTGTTCCTCCAAGAAGCGAGGCTCACTCCTGTCTCTTTAAAGCCCTTTTCCTATTATTTCTGGATTTAGAGCTATGCTACCAAGGGCAAAGTCAGCTAAATGTAACTTTCGGATAAATTAAAGTACTATAAAGTAAGACATTTCAGGATCAGGGTCTATATAAAATCAATGAGTAAGGCCTAGAATGGTGTGGTTTACTCTAAAAAGGCTCAATGTTATTTAATGATAGAGGAAGAGGTGAAAAAATTAAACAGAATCTGACAACTGTTAAATTACTTTGGTCAGGTTTCTTGATCCCAACACATAGACTGCTCTGAAGGAACTCAAGGGGCAATTTACAGTTGTTATGACTAATAGCCATTCACATCTACGAACTGAGTAAAATACTTCCACTTTTTCAGAGCATCAAAAGAGAGGATATTTAAGATTGTGCACTTAATAACACCAAATGTCTGAACATCACATTGATATCTATTTTAAAGATATGTAGTTCTAAAGAAACTTTTCTTATTTCTTCTGAAAAATCAATCTTGGAAAACAAGTTATCCTTTATGTTACACTGTCATAAAAAGGTCTAAAATCTAGAAATGATTATTAGACAAGCTAGGAAAGATCCAAAATCTAGTCTTAAGCTAGGAAAATTTAGGGCTACAAGTCCAAGTACTTCTAATTAGTATAATATTCGACAATATTCTAATATTGTTTTCTCTCAATGTGCATCTAATTATTATAAAATGGAATATTCCACAAAATCCCTTCCATGAAAGTCAAGCGAAAAGTTAGGAAATTCCCTAGATTATTTCAGAGGTGTTTAGACATTGGGCAAGATACTCAAATTGCTCACATGAAGAGTTTATAAATTAGAAGAGCATTTCTATGCCACCTCCTTTTAGAGATAAAATATTGGGGTGCTCGCAGTGGATTTTCAATATGGGGTTCAACTGTCTATGAAATATCCAGTTGGATATCGTACCTTTTCCAATGTCATCTCTGTCTCAGCAGCATGAGTCTTTTTTAGCTCTATTTTCATCTTCTCTGATTCAGCCTTCAGTTTGTTGACAGCGGTCTCATGGTCCCTCGCAGCCCTTTGCTTTTCCTCTTCGCGAAGAAGGCCAAGCTCTACCAGTTGCTGTTTCCTCTGTGAGTTCACATTAATCAGCTCTTCTCTCAGCTTGTGAACTTGGGCCTCCATGTCAGCAATAACCTTGTTTTTAAAATGGAAAAAACAGGCAGAGGCATGAATAGGAAAGTCACAAAAGAAAAAAATGCAAAAGGCCAAAAAACATACAAAAAAAGTTCACTCCTTCCCTCCTTCCTTTTCTCATTTCCCAATCTCCTGCCATTCCCTCCTGCCTCGGAGGTAAACGCTACCTGGAACACTTTACCCTGTATCTATATCCTTAAGTAACATATTAATTTTACTTGTTTCTAAACATTTATGTAAATGGCATAATATTATATGTATTCTTCTGCAACTTGCTTGTTCAATTATTCAACATCATGTTCCTAAGATTCATTCAGTGTTGTCTACTGAATTTTTTAAAATTTCACTGATTTCTGCTCTTATTTTTGTTATGTTCTTCCCTCTCCTTTCTTTGGGTTTATTTTGTATTACTTCTTCTAACTTTTTGTTTCAGATGCTTAACTCATTTTAGCCTCCTGATTTATAAGCTTAAGACTATAAATGTCTCTCAATATTGCTTTAGCTCCATCTCCTAGGTTTAGATATGTGGTACTTTCATTTTCATTTACTTCATTTTTAAACTTCCATTATTATTTCTTCTTTGACTTATGAGCCGTTTAGAGGTGTGTTTCTTAATTCCCAAGCACATGGGGTTTGATGGTTCTTTTGTTATTGACTTCTAATTGCACTGTGGCCAGAGAATGTAGTCTACATCACACCAATCTTTTGAAAATTGTTGAAATGTGCAGTTGTGTGTGCCATGTTCCATGTATGTCCACTGGATCAAACTTGTTATATTGTTGAAATTTTCTATACCTTACTGATTTTTTAAAAAAATTAATAGACTTTATCTTTTAGACCAGTTTTAGGTTTACCAAAAAATTTCAAAGAAAGTACAGAGTTCCCATATACCCTTTCTCTCCACCCTCCACACTGTTTCCCCCATTATTAACATCTTACATTTTTGTGGTACATTTGTTATAACTGATGAGCCAATACTGATACATTATTATTAACTAAGGTCCATAATTTACATTAAGGTTCACTATGTTGCAAAGTCCTGTAGGTTTTGAGAAATGCATAGTGTCATATATCTGCCAGCAAAGTATCATACAGAATAGTTTCACTGCCCTAAAAATGCCTTGTGTTCCACCTATTCATCTCTCCCTTCCCTCCTCCCCTTAAACCACTGAAAACTGGCTGCTGTCTAGTCAAGCTGACTCAGACTCATGTTTATCCATGTGTGAGTAGAACTCTGCTCTACAGGGTTTTCAACGGCTGATTTTTTGGATGCAGATCATTAGGCCTTCCTTACAAGGCAATTCTGTGTGGACTTGTACTGCTAACCTTTTAGTCAGAGGTGAGCACTTAACCATTTGCGCCACCCAGGGACTCCTCTAAACCACTGATCTTTTTACTGTCTCTATAGTTTTGCCAAAAGAGCTCCAGTGGCACAGTGGTAAAGCTAACCAAAAGGTTGGCAGTTCATACCCCACCAGCAGCTCTGTAGGAGAAAGATGTGGCAGTCTGCTTCCATAAAGATTTTAAAAAAAGAAAACAAAAAACCAAACTCATTGCCATCGAGTTGATTCCAACCCACAGCAACCCTATAGGACAGAGTAGACCTGTTCCATGGGGTTTCCAAGGAGCATCTGGTGGATGTGAACTGCCAGCCATGGTGTATTCAATATTCTTTGTCAACACCATAATTCAAAGGCATCAATTCTTCTTTGGTCTTCCTTATTCATTGTCCAGCTTTCACATGCATATGAGGCAATTGAAAACACCATGGCTTGGGTTAGGTGCATCTTAGTCCTTAAAGTGACTTTTTACTTTTTAACACTTTAAAGAGGTCTTTTGTAGTAGATTTACCCAATGCAATACGTTGTCTGATTTCTTGACTGCTGCTTCCATGGGCATTGACTATGGATCCCAGTAAAAGGAAATCCTTGATGTCATCAATATTTTCTCCATTTATCAAGATGTTGCTTATTGTGGTGCTGTGGATCACTTTGTGTGGCCTTACTAGCCATGGTCTTGTAACTCCCACACAAGTGACTGGGTGGGGCTGTGCAAATAAGGCAACTGCCCACCAAGAAGATTGGTCAGTTTTGCCTTAAAAGAGAGACAATTCCAGAGCAGGGAATTGTGTTCTTCCACCAAGGAAGAACAGCCAGGAGCAGAGAGCGTGTCTTTTGGACCTGCAATCCCTGAACTGAGAAGCTCCTCGAAGCAGGAGACCGAGGGAGTGAGTGAGCTGTAAGCCTGAAGACAACCAGAAGCAGTGGAAGGACTGACTGGCAGGAGAGACCGGCAGGAGACATGCTGAGTACCTGGGGTGCCTCTGGGGACTTACTGGCAGTGGCTAAAAGAGCTCTGCAACATTTGCTTGAGCAGGGCAGAGGCCTAGGACCAGAGAGAGGTGTGCCTGTGAGCACAGCTGAAAAGAGGCTGTCTTGATGGAAGAGCTATCCTGAATGTTCCTGAGCCTTGAATTATAACCTCTTACTTCTCTAATGAAGCCCCTAATCATGAGTATTGTCTGTGAGTTCTGTGTTACCATTACAATGAATTATGGAACCCAGCAAAGAAGTAGAGAGTGCCATGGGAGGGATGGTTGGTGTTAGAATTCGTAAAGATGGCAGGGAGAGGAGGCATGGCCGACCTCCGCCTCAGAGGAATCAGCCTTGGGCCATTGATCTTGATTTTCCACCCCCCTTGTGAAGTTAGAGGAGGTCAGACACCACCGCCACACTGTTTTTATACTTATTGATCCAGCTGTGAGGATTTTTATTTTCTTTATGTTAAAGTGTAACCTCAAATAGTATACAGATTTTACATTTTCTTTTTAAAATCTAATCAACCTTTGTCTTTTAAATAGTCCAGTTAGTTTGTATATGCTAATACATTTGCCTTTATTTTTTCTCTTATTTTGTGCTAGCTGCCTTACCTTTTCTAAGTTTCCTTTTTGCTTTATTTTGTTTTATATATTTTTTCTCCTTCAGTTTTCCTCTCCTTCCTGGTTTAGAAGTTACACACTGTATTTTCTTTTAGTAGCAACAGTAAGAGGCTTCAACACTGGTGCTGTATCTAACAAAGTTAATTATTGTTTATAACCTCCTGAAAAATAAAAGAAATTTAGGATTTTTAAGTCCTGTTGCCCTTTCCAGATTTACATGCCACAGTTATTATTTTCAATCTTTCTTGTTTCTCTCCATTCAATATTATTATTATTTCATTCAGTCAGTAGTTATTCAGATATACCTATATATTTACCACTCTCGTTTCATTATTCTTGCATCTCCGAGCTCCCAACAACCACCACCTTCTCTTTGCCCCAAGTGCATCCTTTAAGTTATTTTAATGAGGTTTACCGGCAAACATTCTCAGTTTCTACTGGTCAGAAAATATCTTGATAGGTATTGTTGTTGAAAAGTCAGCTGTTATTCCTTTAAAGATAATTTGTTTTATTTCTCTGGTTGTTTTTAAGATCTTCTGTTTGTCTTTTGTGTTCTTCAGCTTCTTTATGATTCTTCTAAGTGTAGACATGTTTTCATTTATTCTGATGAGGATATGTTGCTCCTCCAAATCTATCTTTGATGAATACTGCAAAATTCTCAGTCACACCTATTCAATTAGTGTCTCTGTTTCATTCTCTCTCTACTCTTCATGGAACTCATTTAGATGTATGTTAAATTTTCCCATTTTGTCTTTTATTTCTTTTAACCTCTCTCTCATAGTTTTCATCTCTTCCTCTTTCTACTACATTCTGGAAATTTATTCTGTGTCTAATTTGCTGTCAAATCCATCCAAGTTCATAATTTCAACTGTTTTGTTTTTATTTTTAGAAGTTTTTTTCTTTTTCAAATGCTTGTTAATGTTTACACTCCCTTGCCTTTGCTATTTTATATCCTTTAAAGCTTTCCTAAAATACATATATTAAATATAATTAGTTTATATTTTATGGTTGATAATTCCAGTATCTTAAGTCTTTACAGGTCATCACTTCTGAAGACTCTTCTTCAGGGTACTTTGTTTCTTAGGTTGTTTTGAGTTGCCATTCTTTTATAATCTGAGTTCATATTTCTTGGAACATTATCTAGTGGAACTGAGGTGGTTCTCCAACAGACACTTGGAGACATCAGCGTCTCTGAATAACTTTAAAGTAAATCCCAGTCTCAAGTTTTCCAGAATACTCTGGTAATGTGAATTCAGGCTTCAAATCTTCACAAGGGCTGTTTTACAGTTACGAATTTACAGGGGGCAATCCTCTACTCAGTGTCAAGGTTTGAAGCAGGTAATTTTCCTGCTTCTAGTTCACTGTTTCTAATTCATCCATATACTGTGGGTATGGCCGTTTGTTGTCCTAGCTTTATGCATGGTGATATCCTATTGGATTCCTCCCCTTAAGGAGCCCCTGGAATTTGCTTTTTGTGCCCTGTGCTCCATGAAGGCCCAAAAAACAAAAACAAAACAAAAAAGTGAAATTCAGGTTCACTCAGTTTGGAAAACGTGCTCCAAGTGAGAGCTGCTTTTAGTGCTCTAGTTATATATCTCGGTTTCTGTTCTCATTTAATTTTTGTCTCTGAATATCATAAGTAACAGTTTGTGAATACACTCAAAAGGATGTTTTCAGAACTTGTTAATCTAGCCTTTTTCGTGGTTATCAGGAGAAGGCTTGATCAGGGAACCTAGTCTGTCATATTACCAGATGCATAGTTCAGATTTAAGAGAACTTCCTATTATTATGCTTACCAATGCATGAGCTGTACAAAGCCATGCAATATTTTCTAAAAACACAATATTCTGTTTTAGGCATTATGCACTTTTAACAAGCACTGAATAAACCAGTGTGTTTCCCTGACTGGAAACCAGAAATCCAAAAGTGGCAGTAATTGCAAACGTAAAGTTAGGATGCAGGAACTAGAAATACAAAGGTAAATGGTAATAAGTTGCTTTAGCAATCAAAATGCCTACAGTAAGTAGGAAATTTATTTTTTGATAAAAACCCAGGACTTATC